CGGACTCACGCCGGTGCCCCCACCAGGGCAATTCTCCGTGCTCCACTCATGGCTCCCTGGCTCACGCCTCCTTCCCCAATATCCTGCAGAACATCTGGCACCACCTTCTCACCACACATTGGGAGCGTACTCCGTAGTCACGCGTTCTTGCTTTTGTTTAGACAGAAATATTTTTGTGTTTATTAAAAACTTCCTGCACCATCTTTATGAGTCTAGATAAAATATATGCTCAATAAATGTAAAATGTCAGTAAATGGTAAAACAGTATTTATAGCTGGGCTACTGACCCATCGTTAATGAGCAGAACATTGAGTTATAGCACTGTGTTGCAGCTTTGCAAACGATACGGTGTCTGAACAAAGAAATCAATATGTCACAATTTTGAATTACTTGGCACCTTTTAATTTCCAGAGATCATCTTGCTTCAGATCTTGACATGCATCACTGGGTCAGACATGGAATGGGCCCCATGACGACCACTGGTTCCTGTCTTACAGGGCTCAGCACGCTACATGCAAATATCCCGTACAGCGGCTCTTTCAGACACCTGCCACTACGCGTTATTCATCCTTAGCTAGAAGCTAACATGCTACAGAACTGAAAACATGCAATTCAGTGTGGATAATTCAGTTCACCAAGGCTGAGAAAGGGAGAAGATTCCAGCTCCTCCTATGTGGACTCAATTTGTGGTCTCAATCTCATCCCTGGAGCCAGGATCTTTTTTTTTTTTTTTTTTTTTTTTTCCCAAAAAACTATTGCACCACACATATTACTGAAGAATGAGTTACACTAGAAGGAAAAAAGTGATGCAGAGGCTGAAGCAGCATCTCTCCCCGAGGAAGGTTCAGGCAGAGTGGTTTGGGGCAGCTCAGAGAGGTGCTGCTGTGTCACCTTGCTGCCATCTGTGTCACCCTCTGGTCAGCCATCAGCAGGGTTCATTCAGTTTTTCATGACCATACCCAACGGTTATCAATAAAATCACATATTGCTTACTTGTTAAATTCTCAGTTTGCTTTTAAGCACAGCCAAGCTGAGCCCAAGTACATCTGGAAAGGCTGAATAAATTTTCTCCAGCTGCAGGTTTCAAGTGATGATTCCTTGCTTTAGAATCGCCTTTTACACACGCTCAGCTATTCGGTCAAATGCATACTCATGCAATATGCAAACACGAAATTAAAGGCGAAGGATTTTAAATGTGGGTATTTAAAATGCACATCTCCCCAGCATATGATAATGGTACATTAAGCATCAGCATTCCCCTCGGCTGAAAATGCCTTCATCCTCCTTCCCCTCTGCTCTTGGGACTCCACACACCCTTGCATGCCAGTGGGCTGTGCCCCACGCTGAGCCCCCCCCGGCTCCCCACGCACCCCCTCACTGCCCCAGGGCCTCCGTCCTCCCCCGTTCACTCCTGCTCTCCCCTTTGGGTCCTCCTCCCAAACACTGATACGTTTTCAGATTCCTTCAGATATGATGGTGATGCCAAGAGTGTTGAATAAAGAAGGCTCAGAAATGGGGTATGTAAACCATACATCTATAAGCTTAATCTGTTTAGATGGACCTGTTGACTTTGGGGCACTTCTAACAGCTCCTCACACAGTGGGTCTCTAAATAAGTATCATGGGTGTTACAGCCCTTAAGGTTAAAAATAAGGTTGATCAGTCTGTAAGAAGAAAGAGACCGTGCGCTGCAGAAAGTCTCACCTGGGAGCTAGGTACTGAGCGCCTGTTCTGAAAATAACGCTAAATATAAGAGTATTTATTGATCCCTTCTGTTCAGATGGCACTCACTTTTCCTAGGCTACATTTGGTTTTCCCCTCTGCTAGACCTTAATTATCTCCTGCCAGGCCATTGAAAGCACTGGATAATAATAAACAAAAATGTGCTTTCTCTGGAAGTACAGTAATTGAGAAGGAGACAAATACATAAGTGGCTGTCTGAGGACCAGAAGGGAGATTCTGGCTTGCCCAGCGCACAGATTTTGCGAGAATGGCAGTATATTTGCAGAGTCTAATGAAAGTGAGCCGGGAGTGCAATACGATCAGCGAGGCCTGTCACTGAGGCACGGGATATCAGCTTATTTACTGAAATGGAGAAGGCAACATTTAAAAGAACTGTTATTTTTAATGAATGCATGAATCACGGAGGAGACTATATTGACATACTGAAGAATCTCACTGTGGGGATGGAGTCCTGTACCTTGCACGACTTGTTTAGAGGACAGAGCTGAGCTCAAGTGATGATCTGCTGGGAAAGAGAAATAGTCCCAGCTCCCTCCCTTGGTCTCTGCCAGACATCTTTCACACCTCCTGACCACGGCACAGGTTGTCTGAGGTTTCCTGCCTGCTCCCGACGCCGGAGAAGGGCCAGCGGCTGCCAGGGCCAACCCCGGTCCCGCTCCCACTGCCGCTTTTCCCACCCAGCAGGACGGTGATGCTCACGGCCCAGCTGAGCTGTCTGGCTCTCTCAAACATCAGCACGAATTCCACAGTGTTTTGGCCCATTTTGAATTGCGGTCTACAACTGGTATCATTCAGACAGAAAATTACTCCAGTAACAATTTACTTCCCACAGCCTTATCAGCATTAACTTCACAACGCTGCAAACAGCTTAAGAAGGACCTGATGATGCAACACAGAAAACCTGGGATTCACAGCGTATGTTTCTATGGAGTATTGAACAGTTTTTACTGCGGAAGAGATGGGCAGAATCAGTCTTATGCGAGAATAGGCTTAGGCTGCAATCTGGGCAGTTATATTTTAACTGTTTAATGAAGTTAATGGCTTTTTCTCAGTTTAATGACAGAGGTCCTGTCTTCCTTCCTCCAAACCCCTCAAATCCAGGAGTTTATGGTGCTCCATATCACTTCTGTTGTTTTCTTCGTACCAACGAAGTAGTCTATCCCCATACATCAACATATGACACTTACTTACTTTTTTATTTATTGCACTCTATGTGAATTTCAACAAAGGAAATGTAAGAATGACCAAAAAAAATGGGCTCTAGCTTTTTTCAGTGCACTGTGATCCCAAGAAGCCAGTGTGGAGCTCGGCTGTCAGGCCACCATCCTGGATCAAACTCATCAGATAGTCTCCCCATCCCAAGATTAGGCCCTCATACAGCTGTCCCTTTTTTTTTCCTATTCTTTCAAGTAACCTCTGCTATTTGCTTACATCATGCATTTATTTATTTTCCTAAATCATGGCTCTGATTTCCCATAAGCATAAACGATACTGACTGACCAACGCAACCCACCACATGTGTCATTAAGGATGACTCTGAACTCCACTATGGCCCCTCATTTCCATTGCCGAGTATTTTATACACACACTTCAACAAACATGTGATCCCAAATCGGATTTTCCTACAGATAAGCAGCTGGACACACTCACTGATGGAAAGAAGTGTTTAGCTTGACGTAATTACCTCAGCCATCAAGCATAGTGCCTGATGAGAGCCCTTCCATTATGTGACATCCCTGGAGGCATATTCCCCCTTCAGCCGTGCAGGCATTTTAAGAACCGCTGGGAGCTGTACCGTCAGTCTGCATGCTGATCTATGACGAGCAAATGCCGCTCGAACAGTTTTTGTCAGTGCTGATTTACTTGCTTTGTTTGTTTGCTTGGGGTTTTAATAATAGTATTAGATGTATTTGACATTGTGCCATTGGTCCATTAGGATTTGGTTGAGTGTTGTGCATTATTTTTAATTTGCATTCACAGTATGCTGTGTAATAACGCACTCTGAATTCTAGCAGTGGATGCTGCGAATTTGTATTAACAGCAGCGCTGATTTGTGCAATGTGTAGTCAAATTCTTTGCAGAAGAATACTTACTGCTTCATGTCCTTTAGCACAGGAGATCAGAGTTTCCAAATAACAACAGAGACTTTTTTTAGCAAATTGTTCCTGGGCTAACCGTAATAGGAAGGATTTCAGCTTGGACGGAAATCATTGACACAAGCTGCTGTTGATGCCAAAAGTTTACATGGTTTCAAAAAGCAATTAGACACAACCATGGGAGAAAAATCCATGAAAGGCGCCTAAACACACAGATAGCTCTGGTTCAGAAATTCCCTGAGCCGCTGATTGCTGGAATTCAAGAAAGGATCCCAGGGACAGATCACTGCACAGTCCTTCCCTAGGAGTCCGCTACCGGGCACTGCCTGAAGAACACGCTGTTCCAGTCTGACCCAATACAGACTTTCACATGGTGTCACGTTAAAAAGTCATGCTGCGAGCGCTTAGGAAGAAGAATGGGGGGAAAAAATATCTCTCTCCTTTCAGGTTAACAACTTGCAAGTTTTCAGTGTTTCTGTATTAAAATCCTCCTTTATATCTAATTAGAATTCAGATCCTCTTCCCCCCATCAGGAAGAGCATAGCCACGGGACTGCACTACAATCATGGGCATTCCGCGGTGCCCTTAATTGGACGGAGCCTTGCACAGCGGCTGGCAGCAGAGCACTGGTTTTCAGTAGTTGCTGGCCTCAAGTTTGTTCATGCCACAAGAAGCACTTTTGGCAATGAATGTTTATCTGCCATGGGGCGGGATCACGATCGCTAAAGAGGTGAAACTGGTTACTTGGTTAAACTAAATAGAGGAAGCTGGTGAAGCACGCACAATACCTTACTTTGACAAATGAAAATCATGGGCAGTTTACAACAGTGAAAAAACATTCTTTAAGGACGCTTTCCTTACAGCACAAGAGCTGTCGATCCCCAGGTGTAAGAAATCGGGAGAGGAGTGCAAGAGACCACCAGCATGGCTGAGTCGAGACCCGCTGCTCAAACCAAAGGGCAAGAAAGAGATGCGGAGGCAGTGGAAGCAGGGACAGGTATCCTGGGAAGAGTATAGGGACGCTGCCCCGTTGTATAGGGAAGGGGTCAGGAAGGTCAAGGTGCAGCTGGAGCTGAACTTGGCAAGGGATGCAAAGAATAATAAGGGCTTCTAAAGGTATGTCAGCCAGAAAAGGAAGGTAAAGAAAGTGTACCACCCCGCAATGAGCAAGACTGGCAAACTGGTGACAATGGACAAGGAGAGGGGTGAGGTACTCAACAACTTTTTTGCCTCAGTCTTCACTGGCAGCCTCTCTCCCCACACCTCGAGTGGTTGGACTGCAGGGCAGGGACTGGGGGAGCAAAGTCCCTCCTGCTGTGAGAGATCAGGTTTGTGACCACCTGAGGAACCTGAACTTACAAACCTGAACATGCAGAAGTCTATGGGACCTGATGAGATGCATCCCAGAGTCCAGAGGGAATTGGCTGATGTGGTTTCCAAGCCACTCTCCATGATATTTGAAAAGTCATGGCAGTCAGGTGAAGACCCTGGTGAGTGGAAAGATGGAAACATTGAACCCATTTTTAAAAAGGGTACAATGTTTCCCTTTTCCTCTGTGCCTGGGAAGATCATAGAACAGATCCTCCTGGAAGCTACGCTAAGGCACATGGAGGACAGGGAAGTGATTCAAGACAGACAGGATATCTTCACCGAGGGCAAGTCCTGCCTGACCAACCTAGTGGCCTTCTATGATGGAGGCCACTTCTATGTCCACATCAGTGGACAAGGGAAGAGCTACAGATGTCTATCTGGATTTCTGTAAGACCTTTGACACAGTCTCCCACAACACCCTTCTCTCTAAATTCGAGAGATGGATTTGATGGGTGGACTGTTTGGCGGACGAGGAATTGGTTGGATGGTTGCATCCAGAGAGTAGTGGTCATGGCTCAAAGTCCAGATGGAGACTGGTGACAAGTGGTGTCCCTCAGTGGTCTGTATTGGGACCAGTACTGTTCAATATCTTCATCAATGACATAGAAAGTGGGATCAAGCACACCCTCAGCAAGTTTTTGGATGACACCAAGCTGAGTCATGCAGTTGACACACCTGAGGGATCGGAAGCCATTCAGAAGGACCTGGACAAGCTTGAGAAGTGGGTCCATGTGAACCTCATGAGGTTCAACAAGGCCAAGTGCAGGGTCCCGCACCTGGGTCAGGGCAACCCCTGGTATCAATACAGGCTGGGGAAGGACTGGATTGAGAGCAGCCCTGACGAGAAGAACTTGGGGGTACTGGTGGATGGAAAGGTAGGTATGAGCCAACAATGTGTGCTCGCAGCCCAGAAAGCCAACTGCATCCTGGGCTGCATCAAAAGAAGCATGGCCAGTAGGTTGAGAGACATGATTCTACCAGTGATTCTGCCCCTCTACTCTGCTCTGGTGAGATCCCACCTGGAGTACGGTGTCCAGCACTGAAGCCCTCAGCACAGGAAGACATAGACCTGTTGGAGCAGGTCCAGAGGAGAGCCACAAAAATGATCAGAGGTATGGAGCACCTCTCCTGTGAGGACATGCTGTGAGAGTTGGGGTTGTTCAGCCTCCAGAAGGCTCTGGGGAGACCTTATTGCAGCCTTTCAGTACTTAAAGGGGGCCTACAGGAAAGATAGGGACAAACTTTTTAGCAGGGCCTGCTGCAATAGGACAAGGGGTAATGGCTTTAAACCAAAAGAGGGTAGATTTAGACTAAATATAAGGAAGAAATTTTTTACAATGAGGATTGTGAAACACTGCAACAGGTTGCCCAGAGAGGTGATAGATGCCCCATCCCTGGAAACATTCAAGGTCAGGTTGGATGGGGCTTTGAGCAACCTGATCTAGTTGAAGATGTTCCTGCTCATTGCAGGGGAGGTTGGACTAGACAACCTTTAAAGGTCCCTTCCAACCCAAACTATTCTAGGATTCATTTTGTGCACATGAGGAAAGTCCCTGCGTAAGTGTAACATCTTATGAGAAGCTCAGAATCTTGAAGACTTCTCCATGTGCCCTGACTTTCTTCTCTGGAGAGTGAACAGTGCCTTATATGATGAGTTGTCACTGGCGCACTTGATGAATGTCTCAAAACTGGGGTACACGTAACTCCATTTGAACACCTAATACTTCAGCTAGTTTTACATAGACCTCAACAGACTGCTGGCTGACTGTAGTTATTTTAATAAAGCTTCATTTGTAAGTTATAGGACACAAAATCCCGTCCTGCAAAAATAGTGAAAGACATTAAGAGAAGCCTGAAAAAGCATAGCAGCAAGAGCCACACAAGGTGATTATTTGGTTTGGATTTGACTTTTTTTTTTTTTTTAAAGTAGTACAGGAATACACTGCTTTTTGCCATTTTTGTTTGGTGAAATGATCTGGACAATTTGATGTCCTGGAGTTTGGCAGACAGCACCTCAGTTCTTGCTGTTTATCATTATGTAAACTACGTTGCCCAAAACTGTGGGTGGAAATAAATGAAAAAGTTGTGAAATGCAATGAACCAATGACTTTCTCCCAGCCTGAAACACATATGTTTTGGTTTTGTGTGTTTGTTGGAGGTTTTTTGCTAAAAGCACTCACATTGATGACTATAATAAAAATACCAAAATAGTAGTCTTGCACCAACACCTCACTCTGGGAACTCTCATGCTTTGCCACAATGTGAGACTCCAGTTTCACTGCATATCTTCAGTACCTTTCTCTTCTTCCTAATTGTACCAGTCATCTCCCCTCCTATTTGCAATAACTAATATCCCTATGACAGCCATTGCTTAGATGAGAAGGCAGCATTAGGAAAGCATTTAATGAACATTAATTGCTTCTTAATATGGTTTAGCTGCTGGAAATAAGGCAGCTAAGCTAGCTCCACGTGACCAGCAGCCCTACAGGCACCACTGCCAGACTCCTCTCCAGATGCAATCCTACGGACCTGAGAGGGGCGGGGGCAGCAGCGGCTCACAGATGACACCCAAGGCTATACTTTACTTTTCCAAATTAGCAACTAAGCAGGGTTGTAGGAACTCAGCAACAAAGTCATCATGGCACCACCTGGCTGATTAGTGATCTCTTCCTTCTGTGCAAGCCAGCAATTATCAGTTCCCACTGACTTCAGAAGCTAATGGGAATCAGAGGCAGGGGGATGCTGCCAAGATGCAGCAGCTTCCAGCTGTCAGAACAGGATGGGACACAGTCTGGGTGTACATTGTTCAGTCTTTGTCTTTTCCTGTGTGGCATCTTTGGCACCTGTGCCTTTATCATTTTGACCATCTGCATTATGTTACCTGACACTGTCACTTCTGACACAGCAACACGATGCAAGAGAAACTCGATCTCCAAATCCAGCATTCCTAAATTTGAATCCTGATTTACCATTGATTCTCATTTCACCCTTCAGTTAGGTCACTTAACCTCTCACTAAGCTGCTCTGCCAGGAAATGAAGGTTGGTAACACCTAGAGATATTGTCGCAATCAATCAGTAAGTGTTCGTAAAGTTGTTGGTAAACAACAAGCATCAAGTGCCAAGTCTAATTTAAACAGATATGGTTTACAATCTTCCCATTTTCTTTGCAAGAACTTTAATATGACATGAAGATTAACCTTCTGATCTGGGAAAAAAAAAAATAATCTCTACTGATATTATAGACTGGTGTTGGCAGCAGACCTCTAACTTGAAATACGATGTCCTCGCTGACATCACTAAATTTCCCATGGATTAGCTGACAGTGATACTTCAGGACTCATGGGAAAACTGTATTGCAGAGGGAAATAACAGTGAGGAGGGGGGGGAATAAAATTGTGTTCTGGATTGTAATTCCTAGTCTTCTTTCATTCAGAGCTGAAATAGAATACCACTAGACTTTCTAAAATTAAAAACTAGTTGTACATAGAGTACTTAATGGATATTATGAAATCATAGAATGATTTGTGTTAGAAGGGACCTTAAAGATCATCTAGTGCCAACCCTCCTGCCACGGGCAGGGTTACCTTCCACTAGATCAGTTTAGTTGATAAACATAAGCAGGAACCTTCAGGTTTTACAGAGTTAACAGTGGGATTGAAGTTTCTACTATCTGCTAACCAGGGAACATATATGTACTTGGAAAAGCTTCACTGTTGGTCCCTACTGTTCATATACAATGTCAACTGGATGATAGGCCTAAAGCTGAGGTAAGTTTTTTTTGAAATGGTGATGAAACACCTTTGTGTTCAAGACCTTTATGATTCATGACAACCTCAGAACAGCAAACTTCTTCAGGACCTCAGAAGTCTTAACACTGTCTTTGTTTATCTATTACGACTAAGTACTTCAAAGCCAAGAGGAAAACTGAGCTGTGCTTGCAGGGACTGTTCACTGAGCCGCTACCTGCTGCCCCTCCGCAACACCAGCCTGCAACTGCTTCTACCTCCCTCCCGCCAGCGCCCACAGCACCACTCGCTGGGGACATTAGCAAGTGCCCTAAAAAAAAAAAATAAAAAAAATCAGATATTCCCTGGTACACCCCATCACATCTGATACTATGCTGTTCCTCTGATGGACCACTGGCATGCTGCTTCTCATTGTCCTATAACCACTTACCAGTCACGATATCAAGTCCCTTGTTACTACACTTACAAGGCTGCAGCAGAGCTCTTATTTTGAGGCTTTCCAGCCATTGTTTGGGACCTAAGATGAGCAGCTCCCAGGCTTAAGGGAACGTTTGCAGACACAGAAAACAGGAAAGACAGGGAAGGATCTGCAAAAACAAGGGGTCAGATGGCTCACGACTGAAAGGCTGCTGTGAGGTGCAGCAGCTCTACTACAGACTGTTTTAATAAAGGGGCCTAATTAATAGCACCCCATCACCTTACTAGGTTTCTCATCGCAATGGCTGGCCCTGTGAAAACACCACTACATGCACGATTAGGCAAAAAGATGCAAACTTACCACAGAAAGATTTCTTTACTGAAACCACTGCAAATACATTAAAAAAAACCCAAAACACTGCAAATGCATTTTATTTAAAGAAACCAACCAAACAACACAAACCAACCAACACCTCGCAAAACAAACGACACATTGAGCGTTATTTATAAATAAGATAAGGAGCTATTAAAGCAGCAGCGACCTCGCTGCACCAGCCTCGGGGCAGGGCAGGCTGCCCGGCCTCCC